GTTTGTTTAAATCAAAGCTGGGTCTTTGACAGCGGAGAGACTGAAAGACAGAAAGACAGTGGCTTTGAGAGATATTAAACATCCACCTTCTAAGCCCAGATTAATTCAAAAAAGGGATCTGAAACGTTTTTGTGAACAGTCATTCCTCTGGGATCTGTCTCACTTTGACTGGCATCGTATTCTGTGACGTGAACTCCGCTTGGAACTATTTTCATAATAGTTTCATTTATTTTGTGAACAAACATGCTCCTTTTCGTCAGTTCAGAATAAAGGGACGAGACAGCCCCTGGTTTACTCCAGAGCTAGCTGACCTCATGCACAGGAGAGATCATCTTTGGGCCACAGCGAGAAAATCTGACTCAGACACTGATTGGTTGAGTATTCGACAGATGAGGAATAAATGCACAACTGCTGTCAAAGCAGCAAAACGCAACTATTTCTTATCTCAGACCTCCAAAAATCTAAATGACCCTAACAGATTCTGGAAAACCATCAAATCTCTCTCAGGCACCCCCCAATCATCTGACCTCCCATCACAACTTCTCGTTAACTCTGTTCCTGTGTCAAATAAGCACGAGATCCTGAACTGTTTCAACAAACATTTTGTTGCTTCTAGTTCTTTATTTGACACAGTTACTAATGGAAAATCAGCCACTTAACTTAATAATCAAACTTCTACAAACCACATCCCTCCTACAAGTCAATCCTCATTTAATCACACCTTCTCTTTTTCTCCATTCTCAGTCAGTGAGGTCAATAAACTGTTAAAAGATCTTGACCCTAAAAAATCTGCAGGTCCAGATGAACTTCCACCTTATTTCTTAAGGCTGGCTGCTCATATCATCACAGTCCCTGTGACCCACATATTCAATCTCTCCATAAGACAAAACTCCATCCCAGACACTTGGAAGACAGCCTTTGTTCTTCCGTTGCTGAAGGAAGGTGACCCCACCTCACTGAACAACTATCGACCAATCTCTAAACTCTGTATTTTAGCCAAGGTTCTAGAAAAACTGATAAACTCTCAAATCAAAAATTACCTGGACTCATTTAACATCTTACCTCCACATCAATCTGGTTTCAGGAAACAACACAGCACAACCACTGCTTCACTGAAGGTTCTTAATGATGTTGTTGAAGCACTGGATGCTAAGGATTATTGTGCTGCACTTTTCTTAGACCTGTCTAAAGCTTTTGATACTGTGGATCATAACATCTTGTGTCATAAGCTCTCAGAAATCGGCTTCTCAGAACACACCATTGGTTGGTTCTCTAACTGTCTTTCAGACCAGAGGCAATGTGTTCAACATAATGGTACTTCCTCCAGTTATTTAACATTCAACAATGGTGTACCACAAGGCTCAGTCTTAGGACCCACCCTCTCTTTACAATCTACATACATAATGTAGGTAAAAACATCCCTAATGCATCCATACATTTCTATGCTGATGACACAGTTGTTTATTGTCGAGCTAAAACTGTTGCTAAGGCTTTCCAGCTTTTGAAATCTGCATTCAACTACATCCATACAGATTTGTTCCGCCTCAAACTTGTCCTAAATGTCGACAAAACCAAAGGGATGCTTTTTTCAAATAGGAAGTTGGTCCCAGCAGTTCTTCCTCCGATTTTATCCTCAAATGGTGTCCCCATTGTGTTTGTTGATTCCTATAAATATTTGGGTATCTTGGTCGACTCACATCTCTCTTTTAAGCTCCATGTGGAAAACTTGGTAAAGAAACTGAAAGTTAATGTAAGGAACTCTCGTGATGGTTTGGACCAAGATCACAACACAACAGACTGACGATAAATAATACGTGTTTATTGTTTCTAAGAGGGAAGTGACAGCTGGTCTCGGTGCTGGTCTGGGTTCTGGTTCTGGTGTCGGTTAATGGCAGGAGCAATCGTCTCAGATGATCTCAAGGGTCCTGAAAGGTGGACGTGTTCTGATCTACAGCTGCTGGAAGGGCTGAGTCCGGTGAAGGACGACAGTCGGCCGCAGCTGTCTGCGTGTCCAGAGTCCGTGATCCAAAAGGGGAGGTCAGGCTTTCCAAGGTCCAGTAACGAGGAGCAGATGTCAGGCAGTACCAGGGGAGCAGGCAGATCGGTGGTCGTGCAGGCGTGGGTCGGTACCAAGAGCAGATGCAGAAACAAATCCAAAAGGGCAATCCAAAGAGACGTGGTTGAGGCAGGCAGAGGGTCAAGGAACCAAGAGATCAGGCCAAACAAGAAGGGGAGGACAACCAGAAAGAGGGACAGGTAGCGTGGAGGGCAAGACAAGGAGCGAGGACTTGAACAGGGACAAGAGAGGGCAACAAGGACTACAGGCATGAACGCGAGATATTTACTAACTACTAAGAGTGTTCAACTATCGGGCACCGAAGAGTTGACAGGTTGCTGCTTATAAAGGGTGGAGAGAACAGGTGCAGCCAGTCAGAGATAATCAGGTCAGCTGGCTGCAGTGCAGACAATTAGTGCAGTCAGCCTTCACCAACATGCAGAGTGGACAGACTGGTTCTCCACATACACACACACATGAGAACCAGGTAGAAGGAGATAAAGAGTGAGAATGAAAAGAGCAGAACAGAACTGAGAAACCAGAGCTAGTGAACAGAGTGATAAAGATCTAAATACAAGGACGTGATTCATGACAGGTTTCCTCTAACCATCCACACTGAGCTCCATGTCTTCTTCTTGGGTAGGATGCTGTTACTATATGCACCCTGGGCTCTGGCACAGCGTTCGGGGAGTCGATCCTGGACAACACCCCAAGACACGCTACTATTGTCACTCGGGAATTCAGCGAGCTCCTCCGCATTGATCAAAAGGAGTTCAGGTCACTGTGGGAGGTATGTTTTGTTGCCTGTGTACTTGTAGGATTCCAGTGTTTTCTGTAAGTGTTTCCTAGCAGCCCCTGAGTGGCAGGGTGGATCTATACCACCACAGCTGATCCTGATCCTGGCTGACAAGTTAATGGTGTGTTTGGACCAGTTCCTCTCCGCTGGAACATCATGCTACCAAGTGGTAACTAGTTACAGCCCTACAGCCCCGAGCTAAGATAAGAGAAACTAACATTTCCTTGTGCCTCCTAGTCCTGACTCTGTGGTTCCTTCTCATGGACATCCAGTCTCCTTGTGCCAGCTAAGCAGAACCTCTCCGTGAAACCTCCTGTGTGTCCTGCCACTCTCCAACTCACTCTACTCACCTTTATCACCCATCTGGAGTCCTTTAACCTGCAGGCCTCCTAAACAAATAAGAGAAAAACAGATTGATCTCAGAAATTATATGAAGTATTACTGTCACTAAGAATTCCCTTATACCTGAACCCTTCGGACACTAAATAAAATCACTTGCTGTCTACTTGAATGTGTCAGTCTCTCTCTCTCACACTACTATTAAATATATTACTCATGAAAGTACTTTAACAGTATCTGCCTACAGAAACTCTCTATCTGTTACACTTTGCTATAGTTAAGGCTAAAAATCTGAGCATGATTTGAAAATGCTTTATTTACTAGGCTCTGATGAAACAATAAAAAAAGCGTTAATCAGTGGTTTGTGTCCTAAATCTGGTGCAACATATCTTTACTTGTAACTTAAAGCACACAGATGCCCCATCAAACAAATTAAATAGATCTTAACAGCTGAGTGGGTTGCTCACATGCAGCCTCGGGTTTATTTAAGCCATCCAGATAAATTAATGCACTTACTACATCATAAGCAAAGCACATTATTTTAACAATCATCCCCAAAATCCTACATTTTAAAAGTTTTTTCAAAGTTTCAGGTTGTAATTAAGTTAATTTATGAACAGTTGGCTAAAATATTAAATGTGAATAAATCTTACACTGAACCAAAGCTGTCTGCTCAGCTTTCAAGTTTGTTGCACGTGCTTACTGTATTTAAACCTTTTGATCACTAGATGGGGGTGCAGCACAGAAAGGAAACTTTACTAATTACTAATGGAAGGAAACTCCTTTACAACTTTAGTAATATCAACATATTTTTATTACCGGTCACTGAAAGGAGACAGGTGGGCGATAATGTTTTTGCCTCTGTGAGTACATTTGCCTGTCCGTTAGCAAAATATTTTATAAACCTGTGAGCATCTTTGAATGAAACTTCCTAAAAAAATAAATCAAAAATCAAAATGAACATCCACAACTGATCTTAGCAAGCACAAAAACAGCTGTAGCTCACAACTTTTACAAATAGTAAGCTAAAATCTTGATGTGGTAGTAGCAGACAGTCATCCCCGACATGAGCACATGTTGCTGTATGTCGTATATTTTCAAGGTTTGACCAAAACACCATCTTTTCTCATCGTAAGATAGTTTGTGTAAATGTCTGGCATGAACGGCAGTGGGCGATGTGCATTCCCTTACAGAATGCCAAACATGCAATCAGTATTTAAGCAGTCACTCACTATATGATTCACCTGTATAAATAAAGGTTGAATGAATGAATGATCAGAATAAGCTCAATATTTGAATAAAGGCACATTAAAATAATATAATTGATGTAATTCTGTTAACAGTCATTTGTTATTTCATGCACATGCACTGTTATGATCAACCCCAGGTGATATGCATCTGTCACACCTCTGGAGTTGACATTGTGGATTGCAACTTTTGACTTAATCTTTTAATAATAGGAGTATGTAAGTTTCTTTTGGCTGCTTCTTTATACAAGGGTCACCATGGCTAGCGAACATGCATGAAAGATTTGACTATTTGTTTTACACTGGACCCCCTTCCTGATGCAACTTGGGCTTGAACCCATATCCTCAGGATTATAAGACTGCAGCACTGACCACTGAGTTACCACAGCTTCATGCTTTTAATAATAATAATAATAATAATAATAATAATAATAATAATAATAATATAACAACAACTATAATAATAATATTAACAAAATCAATTTGTAAGCAAGTAAAATTTTATGTTTATAGCACTTCTCAAGATAAAAATCAGAAAGTGCTTCAACAAACAAAATAAAAAAAAAGTGCACAAAATCAATTTAAGCAAAGGCAGATTTAAAAAGATGAGTTTTTAGCGCACTTTACATTTACAAATATAAAAGTACTGTCTATCAAGAATCATAAAAAAACAAATAAATTAGCAATAATAATAATAAATATAACTAAATTAAATCATAATTCAATTAATCGCCATTTTACTCACTAACTTGTCACACAACCTGTGTAGTTTATGTTAGTTATGTGCAATCACGTGCATTTAAGCTATATTCATTCAACCTTTATTTATACAGGCTAATCCCATTGAGCCTCGGGGACTCATTTACAAGAGAGACCTGAGAGACCTATTACTACCTGTGAAAGACTTATTCATACAAATTCATTCTACCTGCACTGTTATATTCTACCATGTTGTTATTTTTTACTATATTTCTTTTGGACCTTGTAAACATTATATTTCTTTTAACTTTTTTGGTACTTTATTTTGTACTCTTATTGCATGCTTTAGTATTTCTTGTTTTTTTTTTTTTTTTTTTTTTTATCAAGTCAAATCAGTTCTTCTCATCCTGAACATTTCATTCCACTGTTGACCTTGTATAAACCTGCATATGACAAATAAACAACATAACATTCAGTTAGGGCTATAAAAACAGCAACAAAAAGGTTTAATTTTATTTTATTTTATTTTTTCCAAGGATTCTGCCGTCTGTAGTTCCTTCAGGTGGTGTGGAAGTGATGAGGAGCAGCAGCACCTAAGTCTCGGTCCAGCATGGTTGTGAGCTTATTTCAAGGAATTTGAAGACGGGCTGAGTTGTTGGAAAGAAGATAATTCATTTTTATGTGCTGGATGAGCAGCTCCTTAAGGTAGAGAGGACCATTGCCATACACTGGTGGTGTATCAGAAGACACATCTTCTATTCTGGCAGAGGCATGAAGCCAATGAAGAGAATGCAGGACCTGTGTGATGTGTTGTTTTTAGTTTTTGTTAAGAGTCTGGAAGAGGCATGGACACGTTTTCAGCATCAGAATGATGGTGATGAGCTGAGACTTGCAAAGTTTTAGTTGGAAAAAAAAAACCCAGAAGTTTTTACACAGATGTTTAACATGGGAGTCAAAGGAAAGGTGAGGATCAAATTGGAAAACAAGGTTGGTGACAACCAAGTAGTGTCATGTCCTGACCAGAAAAGTTTATGGTTGTTATGGGAGATGATTGAAGATGACAGCTTTTACTTTTTACTTTGACTACGCCCCACTGTGAAAATACATGCAGACTTTTAGACCCTTTCCTGGAAGATAATGACTGGAAGGCAGCATATTTTTGTTTCAAAACTTGGTCATTTAGTTTAGCATTTATTATTCCTTCACAGATGCATCCATGTTGTTTGCAATAATGTACAACCATTGATGCTGCATGCAGAAAGTCAGAGCAACTAAACACTAATAACATAGACAATTTCTTCTCTATTCATCTGAAATGAAATTATCTTTGCACTTATTTGAATAAAAAACACGCTTCATATAATCTACACTTTATTATGTTGTGTTTTTGTGTCAAATATGCAGTTTTCTACCTTCTAGTGTGGATGAAGTTCAGGTTGATGTTGCCTAAATGAGATATTGACTCTCTGAGAGCTTTCTTAGCGTCCTTCAGCTAAAAATGCTGACAGCATCAGCATCCTTACATCGATCTTCTATCGTCTGACTCGAATGGTTGTGTTTCAAGTGAAGAATTCAGATACTGTCTTGATGTACTCAACGTTGACTGCTCTCAGCATGTTTCAGTTTGTACAAGTTCACAAACGTTGAGTATGCGTCATTCTATTTTATATAATTTGTCACAAGAAAACGTTTGTTCACGGCTGGCAACAAACTCGAGAATAATCCCTGTAAAAAGATGCAGTTGATCATTTCAGATCATTTCAACATGGGTTTGATGTAATCTGAACTGGGCTTTGTGATGCATGAAAAATGATAATCTATACTGAGTCATTTGTTACATCCCTGCAGCCACGGTGAGCAGAGAACAGCAGCTAACTGGGTTGGAGAGAAGGGAAAGGGCGACATATGTTTCCAGATGTTACCAAGCCGTCTCCTCACAGAACGACCCTCATGTTTCTGAGACCAGCTGAGACCCGCTACACCAGTCCCCGAAGGACTTTTATTTTTTCTTATTTCTGGCTGTCCACTTATTCTTCTAGCATTTACTCTAAGTTTACTTTAAATATTTATGAAATGGTTCGGTTCAAAAAGACGTTGCAGTATGTGAACATGGAGTCAGTGTTTACAGTAACGGATGTACAATTCTTATCAAGGGCTGTGAAAACTAATTCATCCAATAGATAACACATAGATATCATTCATTGCACCTGAAAGACTCAAATATATTTTACTTTTAAACAAACAAAAAAAATCTTTAATTTCTTTGCTGCTCAGAAAGTTCACTGCAGCTGTCTGTGTCTAATAAGTAACAAGGTCAAACATGAAGAAGTTCTCTGCTCTCTGTGGTACACGCTGTATCTTTTAGGGTATTTGCATCTTAATAATAATGAAATAAAAACAGTCAGAAGTTGTTCAGAGCTGTCTTGAAATAAGGTTTTGACATATTTAACACCACATCTCTGCCCCCGATCAGTGCACTACAACAGCACATTACTTCATTTTCAGCAGTTTAAAGCAAAAACATGCAGACATTTTTTGGTGAAATAGCAATATAATTAGTTCCAAACAAAAAGCAAATCATTTTTTATTTATTTGTATTTGCAGATTAAACTTTTAATGAGCTTAAGGACTGACACCCTTTGTTAACTTACCATACTTATTTTCTTTATTACTGTTTCACACACAACTGGAACCATTTCTGTTGTATTT